GCAGCTACTGTTACTGCCCACACTGTCTGCAGGCAAAGAACTGGAAGCTTAGCAATGCTAAGGCGTTTCCCCAGAGGCCCACAGCTGGGCCGCGGCAGAGCTGGGAGGGGGCCCAGGTGGTGCACACAGCGCTGCTCCTCTATGACTTGGAGTGGATTTAACACAAGGTACTTTAATTTTCAACTGGCTGTGTGACCATAACTAAGTCAACTTCCCCGACCCTCACTTTCCACCTCATTAAAAGGAGGGAGTTAGAATCATGTTCACAAAATAAATGTTCTCTGGGCATCTACTGAGGTTGAGGCACAGTCCCTGTCCTTGTGGACTTGTCACAGCAGTTGCAGCGGATCTGTTGCTGAGTACTGTGATCAGCGCTGTGGAGTCTGCGTTGTTTTGGGGGGTTTAAGAATAGCAGCAACAACAGTCCCACGGCCTCACGGAGTGATTGCTGGGTCCAGGCACAGCACCATCTGAGTGCTTCCAAGCATGGCCTGGCCTGGTTCTCCCAGCCTAAGAGGTCGGGTGCTATCGCTCTCGTTTTACAGGTGAGAAAAGCTGGGCTGAGTCTCGAACATGCCCACTCTGTGCAGCGTGGACATGGCAGCGCAGGAATTCTGATTTGCACAGTCTGACCCTAAAGCCTATCACTGTGCTCTTCTAAGCAAGACCCCACACCCAGCTAGTTACAATTTTCTGTAGAGCCTCTTCTTCCCACCTTGCCTCTCCGTCTTCTCAGGAGCGGGTATCTACTGATACGTTTTTAAGAAATGAGAGAGTTCTTCTCACAGACCTTCCCCGTAGTGTGTGTTTTGGTGAAGTAGTTCTCAGAGATTGGACCTTGGCCTAACGGCATCAGAATCACGTTAAAGTGCAGATTCCTGGGTCCCAGGACAGGGTCACTGAATCCGACTCTCCTGATAGCAGGTCTGGGACCCTGCCCTTCCAACTAACCTGCTGGGGGAGTCTTAGTCTTGCTAAGTCTTTTCTCTCTCTCTCTCTCTCTCTCTCTCTCTCTCTCTCTCTCTCTCTCTCTCTCTCTCTCTCTCTCTTATTAAGGTATTATATCTGTACATATCTTACCCCACCCCATCCCGTCTTGCTAAGTCTTAGTCTTGAGCCTTGGGAATGTTTGAGCCCTGGCAGAACCATTTGTCATATGCATTATATGATTTTTCTACAAATCCAATTCTCCGTGGTTTAAATCCCTGCGGCTTGGATTATCTGGCCTTAAAGACAAAGCTGCCCTCAGAGGCGCCTCTGTGTTCACTGCACCTGAAAGCCAGCTTCCTGGGGGAGTTCCGTGTTGTCCCTGAAAACCCGAGTCCTGGCTGAAAGCTTTCCTTCCTGAAGAACAAGGTTCTCTCTGGGATGAGATCCCACTGTTCAGTCAGGTGTGTGCTTTGAGTTACTTGTTTTTCTTCTATAAGATATTCATAGTTAGGGCTCAAATTCAAAGGGCCAGTGGGGAGAGGCCCACTGGGCAGGAATTTCAGACCCACAGTAAGGGGCTCTCACCCACCCAGTGAGGGGACCCCCAGGTCAGGGGCCCCAGTGAAGTCATAGCCCACAGCCCTCAGCAGGAGGGCTTTGAGGGGCTGCCCGCCTGCTCCCCACCCCAGCCTAAGCCTCTGCTGCTCTGAGCCAAAGTCTTCTGATGGTAGATTCCGGAGCAGGGGGCAGGCTTTGAAATCAGACAGACCTGGGCTTAAGGCCCGGCCTTACTGTTTACTGGCTGGATGATCTCATGTCTCCAAGCCCCTGTTTCCTGCCTTGTAGAGTACAGATGGCAATAAAGCATACCTCCTGCGCAGTTTATGAGGATTAAATGAGATGACGCAGGCTAACTCCCAACACATGATAACGGCTCCCTTCTAGGGAAGGGTTCTTACCCGCTTCCTGCCTGCAAGCGGATCCCCCACCCCATCCCCTGCTCATGCTCCTGGGCAGCTGCACTTTGGAAGGAAATGCCATGCGATGCTCCAGCTGCCACCTGCTGCCTGCCAGGCGGCAGGACCAGCACTGGAAGCTCCTCACGCTTCCTCTGCTTCGCCCAGATTCACTCAATCCCCTCAGCCTCCTTTGCATTATTTGGACTTTTATGGTCACATCTCAGTTAAAAGAAAAACACTTAGAAGTCAAGATTCCATGTTAGGAACCCCATCAAGGACCAGGAGAAAAGCAACAAAAAAGTGTTACAAAACCTGAATACTATAGCTCATGTTTTTATTTTTATTTATTTATTTATTATATATTTTATTGATTTTGTACAGAGAGGAAGGGAGAGAGATACAGAGTTAGAAACATCGATGAGAGAGAGTCATCAATCAGCTGCCTCTTGCACACCCCCTACTGGGGATATGCCCGCAACCAAGGTACATGCTCTTGACCGGAATCGAACCCGGGACCCTTCAGTCCTCAAGCCGACGCTCTCTCCATTGAGCCAAACCGGTTTCGGCTAGCTCATGTTTTTAAATGCAGAGAACTCACTCACAACCTAATTGGTATTGCTTTAGAAACAATCATAACAAACCTTAAGTTAGAAGCAGGAGAGTTTGAGAAGCAGGGATGCTGCCACACTTAGGCGCTTGCTGAGAGCAGCAAGAAGAAATCCTTGAAAACTCACAGCCAAGAGAAAGAGAGGAAGGAAAAAAAGGGAGGGAAAGGGGAGAGAAAGGAAGGGACAAAGAAGACAAATGACTGGAATACTATTATCAATTAAAAGGAATAAAATATCGATTCATTTACATAAACTTTGAAAACTTTATGCTACCTGAAAGAAACCAGTGACAGAAGGCCACGTAGTATTTTTTCTTTTCCTTTAACTGATATGAAATGATCAGAATAGACAAATCCATACAGATAATAAATAGATTAGTGGCTGTTGGGGCTGGGATGTTGGGAGTAATGAAATTATTCTAAAATTGATTGTGGTGATGGTCTCACAACTCTGTGAATATAATGAGAACCAATGAATGTACACTATTAGAAAGAATAGTCTGAAAAGTTTGATGTCATTCATTAAAGAACAGTAATTCTCTAGAAGATGTGGTGGGGCAGGGATGGCTAGGAGGTCCCCAAGATGTTTTCAGAGGGTCCCTATGGTCAAAACTATTATGCAGTACTAAGGCCTTATGAGGCCTTTTCACGCTCATTGTCCCGTGGCTGTACAGAGTTTTTGCCATGTGATGGTTACATGGCTTGTGATATCATGTAGCTCTGAAGGCTAATGGGATATGTGCCTCTGTATTCTTGTGTTTTAAATCTCTCTGTCTTAATTCTTAATACAGCCAAAGTTTACAAATATAACCCACATAAAACAGCATTCCTGTCTGACAGCAGAGCAGTGTTATGGGTTTTCAACTATGAACTCTGACTGAAGGCCACAGAAAGCTCCCACAGTACCCCTCAGAGCCCTCCCTGTAGAATTCAGCATGGCCTCCCTTGTGAGCATTTACTATGTATGGGCACAGCGTTTTTCATGCCTGACATACTCATCTTCACAAGGACCCTACTAATAAAAGGCAGGTACTGTTATTACCCCCCATTACAGAGGCGTAAACTGAGTTATAGGCTAAATAACTTGTCAAAGGTCCCACAGCTAATGGATGATGGAGCCTGAACTTGAACCCAGGCAGTCTGGCTCCAGGGTTAGCTCTCTTAAGCAGGATGTTATAGCCCCTCTGAGCCATCCAGATCCTGTAGCTACAAGTCAGTCTCAACACTTCCCCAAGAGAGCCTAGGGTGGGGAGAACCTCATGGAGTTGAAAGTCAAGAGACTAAAGTTGAAGTCCTATCTCCTCTGCTTGTGTCTATGTAATTCAAGCAAGTTATTTATCTTCTCTGAGCCTTGGATTCTTCATCTAAAAAGTTAGGGTGATCATGGGACCTATCCCAAAACCTGTTGGTAGGATTTATAAAATACTGCAAACCAATGTGATGCCATGGGGAAAGGAAGAGAGTGAGGGAACCAGGTCCAGCCAAGGGCATGCTAGCTGTGTGACTGAAGAAGTTATTTAACCACTCTGAGCCTTAGTTTCATTCTCCGTACAATGGAGATAATGAAATCCTTGATAGGAGATATAAATAAGACTGCAAGTCTGAAAGGGCTTAGGCAGCTCAGCACAGGTTAGCTGTTATTATACAAGGGATTGGCAAGTTGCAAAGCAGGACAATACTAGTATTGTAATGAAGTCTTTAGCTTTAAGGCAAACCAAGTTCCTGTTACTATTTGGGACAGGGAGACATCAATGACATCATGGTCTTGGCACGCTCCAACTTTTAGAGGATTCTGTGCCCTAGGATTTTGCAACTCCATGTGGTCTCAACCACCACCAGCAGCAGCAGCTGGGAGCTTGTCAGCAATGCATACTCTCAGGTCCCACCCAGACCTCCCGAGTCAGAATCTGCATTTTGACAAGATCCCCAAGATTCCTATACACACTCAAGTTTAAAAAAAAAAAAAAACACTGGTGTCTCATGGAAAGAAAGAATGGTAATGGTAGTTTTTGGCCTGGGATAGAAAGGGTTAATGTTTAGTTTGGCTCCTGCCAAGGCACCGGATACAGAAGGTTCCAGAGATTGAAGCGTATAGACTGATGGGACAGGAAGGCTCCCTTCCTGCCTGTGTCCTGGACTGCCAGGGCTCCAGCCTGGGGCCTGCACTGAGCCTCGGGCTGTAGTGAGGAAGGGCTCCAGGCCTGCAAAGCAAAGGGCATGCTGGGACAAAGGGAGGCCTAAGTGCCTGTTCTCGGGCCATCTGGACTCAGTTGCCAGAATGAGCCATGTAAGGTCTGAGGCAGAGTGGAGAAGCCCAGAGGAATGTCCCAGTTAACTAAGCAGGGCTCTCCCAAGGGTGGCCAGCACTGGGGCAGCTGTGTGAAGGCCTCTGAGGCCTCCTGTTGCACCCAGCCCCACCCTCTGTCCCCTGGCCTCTAGGAGGTGGGAGCAGGGCTGGGTCCCGGGACCCGGGACGCAGCGCTGTGACCGTGCTTCCTCCGCAGTGCTGGAGCAGCTGCTCCCCGAGCTCACGGGGCTGCTCAGCCTCCTGGACCACGAGTACCTCAGCGACACCACCCTGGAGAAGAAGATGGCCGTGGCCTCCATCCTGCAGAGCCTGCAGCCTCTCCCAGGTCAGACATCAGCACTCTGCCCAGAGCCCCTCAGGACCCTCAGGAGCTCCCAGGCTGCTGGCAGGAGGAAGCTCACAGCACAGCATTCAACACTTTGCGTGGTCTGGCCAATGTCCTCATCCACGTTGGCCCTTCTCCACCACAACCCTGACTGTGCTCTTTGTGCTTCTCCATCACCAAGGCATCACAAATCCACACACACAATGCACATGCCACACACATTTGTAAGGTACATGCCACATGCCACACTCACACACACACCACATTCTCACACACACCTCACATGCATAGCACATCCATAACAAATATACACTTACATGTGACACACCTCACACTCTCACCAACAGTATGCACTCACATATACAGCACACATGACACATTTCTCACACCCCACATGCTCTCAGACACAACACATACACATCACACATTCCTGTACACAGATGTACACTGACACACACCATCTTTATGAGTTGGCCCCACATCATTATTCATTCCCCACCCCATTTCCCACAGCTTCTCTGCCTGTCTTCCCAGCAGCAAGGCCTCCTCGCCTGCTCCAGCCTTTTCTCTACACCCATCTGCCCCCAAGATGATCTGTGTACATCAGGAGCTCAGTGAACCCTAATGGGCTAGCCCCGTGTCCCGCACTACTGAAGGGCGTCTGAGTGATAGGCTGGGAGGTCACTACTCAGTGATTCTCTGAGCCTCACTTCCCAGTGACAAAGAAGGTCCAAGTCACTGGCTGCCCTCACAGGACTGGGTGGAGAAAGGGGACAGTGGCCGCTGAGCTGGCTGGAGCCCCTGCCCCCGACCACTCCAGGGTGCCCCCTGTATTCTGTTTTCTATAATGGGCTCTAAGCATCCTTTCACTTGGAGGAGGACTTCAGTAACAATGTAAAAATGAAAGCAAGGCTTGAAAACTAAAGAAATCATTTTGGTTGTGCACAAGATTTGCAAACTGAATCTTGTATCCTATGCAGCGGGGAGACCTAGCCCCTCCTCAGAGTCGGCTTCTGCCGGTCCCCATCCTCCTCACTGTTAGTGTGTTCTCCTTCCTCCCAGAAAAAGAAGTCTCCTATCTGTATGTGAACACAGCCGACCTCCATTCCGGGCCCAGCTTCGTGGAGTCCCTCTTTGAAGAATTTGGTAAGTGACCCTCTCCCGACCTCAATCTCTGGAAAGGCCCTGACCGGGTAGGGAGATACCTGCACCTGGGCCTGACTCCAACATGACAACAATGGTCACTTTACGCAAGTCCCTGAGCCTCTCTGGGCCCTGTCACATCCGCAAGTCTAGTCAAATGTACAATAATAGGAAGTCATCCCCAAAATGTGAGGAAGGGATGAACGTGCAGGCCAAGGAAGTATGGCACCTGGGGCATTGTCCTGCCTGCTGCCTCACTTTCATCAGCAGTGGCTACCTGGGACCCTGGGTTGAGCAGTGCAGTGGCACGGTGGGCATGGGAGCAGCCAAGCAGGGCTGGTGCAGTGTGTGCATAATGAATGTTCTATCTCAAGAGGAGGCTCAACACAGGGAGACAGCTGTGGGTCAAGTGAGGGAGTGTTAGAGGCTGACAGACTTAGGAAAGACATTGCTTTCGTGACATAACCCTTACAAATCTGCACAGCACTGTACCAAACGTTATCTCATTCGATCTTCTCCATAACTCTGAGAGAGAGACAAGGCCGGTTTACAGATAAGAAGATTGAGTCTCAGAGCGCTGAAGTCACTGGTCATTAGAGTTACTAAGAGAGTTGGTATTGGAGGCCTTCTGACCCCAAATCCAGCCCTCTTCCTGCTCTGCCTTGCTCATCCTCGCTTTCTCTGCCCCACGGCCTGACATTTCATAGACTGTGACCTGAGTGGCCTTCGGGATACGCCTGAGGACGAAGGGGAGCCCGGCAAAGGAGCCAGCCCTGAGCCAGCCAAGAGCCCATCTCTGAAACATGTGAGTCATGGACTGGCTTCCCACACCTTCAGGCCCTTTGCTCCTCTGGAGAGGGCAAGGGAAGCTGCCCCCTGATGCTGGGGACGCTCCTGGATGTGGAAAACCCTGTTCTCTCTTCCGCGTGGCAGCTAAGGGCAGACACTGACTCGCGCTTACTGTGCCCCTGCTGAGCAGGGATAATGTGGTAAGCTGACCTGTCCCTTTAGGCCCAAAGGATGACCCAAAGGGTTCTGCCATGGCTTGTGCTTGCAGTAACACAGATGGAGTGATAGAGAAAGCTCTGGGCCAGAAACTGAGTGGCCTTTACCCTCTTCCCTACTGCTGTGTGGCCTCCGAGTCTGAGTTTTTCACGTACAAAATGAAGGTTTGGACCATATCTAGCGTTCCCAGCCTCAGGGCCATAGAATTAGGGCAAGGCACCCATAATCACACCAAGCATTGTTTCTCAGCTGCATAATTCACTATCATCAGCATCAACAGTTCCAACTGTTGACAACTTACTGTGTCCTTTACATGCACACCGCAACTGAGTGAGTTATCCTCATTTTACAGGAAAGGTAATGACGCTCAGAGAGAGTAAGTGACATGCTGATGTCCCACAACTAGAAGGTAATAGAGTGTAGCTGTAAAGCCAGGGTTCCCTGGCCCCAGAGCCTAAGCTCTTGGCCGCAATACTGCCTCACTAAATAACATCTCACATTCACTTGTCCCGCTGCTCCTCATGTGTATTTGAGGTGGTTATAGGGTACTGCAGCACTCAAAGTAGCTTTTAGTTATTGTGCATGTGCTCACTCAAGCATATAACTCCTTTTATGTGACAGTCCTCAAAACTTTTAAACATTACAGAAGCCCTGCTGCTTAAATAACCTGGATAAAAACACAGGGCCAAACAAACACTCTTAAGGTTTCCCAGCTTTGCCCTCCTGCAAGTCTGTTAGATATTATAGCTACTCAGTCAGACCTTGCCTTCTAGGAGCGCCTAATCCCTCTCCCCAGCTTCCTTCCTGTCATTCTGCTGCTCTCCTCTGCTCTCCTGGCCTTCTTAGTCTCACATACCTCTTCCTTCTCCCTCCAGGCAGCAGACTTGCCTCCACCGCTCCCAAACAGGCCTCCGCCTGAGGACTACTATGAGGAGGCCCTTCCCCTGGGGCCAGGCAAGTCCCCTGAGTACATCAGCTCTCACAGTAAGTTCTGGTCCCCTTGGGAGTAGAGGGCAAAGAGTAGGAGGCTCTTCTCCTGAAGCTCCAAGCCTGGCACCCGCCAGCCATACGCACCTCCTGAGGAGTAGCTGCCTGAGGACGTGGCCTCTTTAATGACGTCCTGGGTACATCAGTGGGTGTAGAGCCAGGGGTCAGGAGTTTGGGCTTTAGTCCCAGTTCTGTATAGCCTTGGGCAATCCCCTTCCCCTCTCTGGGCCTTTGTTCCCTTACCCTTAAAATAAGAAAGAGGGGTAGATACATGCATGTAAATGCACTGGGGTGGATGTGCACAGATGACCACTATAACCTTTGCCTAGCCCTGAAGCTGGTGCTAACCTCAGTGCTCCTCCTCAGTGGGCTGGTGAACTAACGCATGTTTCAGCAGAGTCACATCTCACAGGCGGATTAGGTTATGTAGGTTATGAAGTCAAGGCATAGGATAAAAAAACACATGGTCAAAATCAGAGGCCTTCAGCAGAGAGTGTGGACACCCCAGGGGATTTATGAAATGATGCAGGCAGAAGTATTAAAAGTGTCATTTATATTTAGGTCAATACCTTTTTTAAAAAGTCCTATGTGAATGTTTTATAGAATTTATAATCTAATAATAGCATAATGCTTCTAATTAGTTTAAATATAATTATATATATATATATAAAATATGAACATATATAATCATTATTTATGTGTGTAATTTATACATAAACAAATACAACTATATTTCATTATTATATTTTTACCAGTAGGTGAGCACAATAAAAAAGAGGGCACTAGTACAAATTATCTTTGAAAATTCTCAGCCTGGCCAGCATAGCTCAGTGGTTGAGCATTGACCTATAAACCAGGAGGTCATGGTTTGATTCACAGTTAGGACACATGCCCGGGTTGCAGGCTTGATCCCAAGTGTGGGCATGCAGGAGGCAGCCAATCAATTATTCCCTCTTATCATTGATGTTTCTATCTCTCTCCCTCTCCCTTCCTCTCTAAAATCAATAAAAGTATATTTAAAAACTAAAAAAAAAAATCTCTAAGTTGACCACAAAAGGAGTGTGTTTGGTTTTGACTTGTTCTCAATCGATCTCCTCCGGTGTTACAACAGGTGGCTGTTCTTTTGAGGATCAGATAAGTCACTGGCTCGGGTGTAGGGACTTAGCAATCCATATAAGAAAGTACATGATGTTCAGTTGCCTAGATCACATATGGTTCTACTGATAACTTGGGAGAACAGTAACCCCGACTTGGATAGTAGGTTGGTGAGATGGAATTGAAGGAAAGGACTGTCATAGGGTGCCACTCACTGTTATTGCTTTTGTGCTGTAAAGTCATAGATTAAGAAAAGGGTAGCGAGGCCCAGAAGGGGCTTTCATCTCAAGTGCTAAGAAACGATGGAAAGGAACAGCAATTTGGTGGAGTACCACAAAGTACTATGATGTACATTGAAATATAATCCTCTATGCCTGAAAAATATATATAAAGAAAGTACATGATGGCTTTTTGATGACCCAGCATAGTAGCTGCAATGTAGGTGAAAATGTTTATGTGCTGGGATATTTTCCAACCACAAAAAAGTAAATAGCCCTAACTGGTTTGGCTCAGTAGTTAGAGCTTTGGCCTGAGGACCGAAGGGTTGCAGGTTCAATTTCTGGTCAAGGGCACGTACCTTGGTTGCAGACTCGATCACTGGCCCGGGTCAGGGCATAGGTGGGAGGCAGCCAATTGATGTCTCTCTTGCATCAATGTTTCTCTCTCTTCCCCTCCCCCCATCATCTCTCACTTCCATTCTTCTGGAAATCAATGGGAAAATATCCTCAGGTGAGGATTTTTTTTAAAAAGTAAATAAAATAGGTCTCCTGTACTGATCAGTAATGAACTCCAAGATACATTCATTGAAAAAAAGCAAACACATAACACTGCATATGACATGATTCCACTTATTTTTTAACAGTATATATTCACAGACATTCATTTTAACAATTTTTCTAGGATATGCAAGAGACTCAACAGTGCTTTTCTGTGGGAAATGAATAGAAAACTGGGTGAAGGGAACATATATTCCCACTCAAATTCTTTGGTGCAGATTATGCTTTTTGCCATGGGCATATATTTTTTATTATAGTAAAACACACATAACAGGAAATGACCATTTCAACCATTTTTTAAATGTCCAATCAATGGTATTTAATACATTCACAGTGTTGTGCAGCCATCACTACTATCTAGTTCCCCAACATTCTCATCACTGCAGAAGGAAGGCCATACCCATTAAGCAGTCACTCCCTATTCCCCTCTCCCCTGAGTCCCTCCCAGTCACCAATCTGCTTTCTCTATGGATTTGCCTTTCTTGATACATCATATAATAGAATCATACAATGTGTGGCCTATTGATTCTCACTTATTTCACTTAGCATTATGTTTTCAAGGTCCATCCAAGCCATTGCATCTATCAGTACTTCCTTCCTTTTTCTGCCAAATAATATTCCACATTTTGTTTATTCATCCATCAGATGGACATTTGGGTTTTTTCCCTCTTTGGGCCCCCGTGGCACAGTATTTTTATGATTGCTAAACTAGTTCAAACAGTGAAACGGTGAGTTTGGACAGGTGATCAGTGGCTTTATCCAGCCTTCATAGTCGTGGGGGTCTAATGTCACTGTTAGCAATTATCTGTCTGTAGAGCAAGTGACTTGTATTTTCTTCACTGGAGAATTGGAGGGGGCGCGGACAGGGGGTGAAGGGAATGAAGTGCTCTGTGCCCTGAATCCCAGGTCAAGCCCCTCAGATGAGGCTCCTCCACCTCCCCACAGAGCTCACCCCCTCTCAGCTGGCACAGAGAAGCCGCCTCTGGAAGCAGCAGGCATCCTGGGGCAGTAAGGAAGGGAGGGCCTCAGGAAGGGCCAGGGACCTGATCCAGGGAAAGAGTGCCAAGCCCATCAGGGAGTATCCTTCCTTTCACACAGTATCCAGGCCCAGGTGTCTGAGCACTTTGGCCAGGCTGTCCCTCCCTCTTCTTCCTCACACCTCTTCCTCCCACACCCCACACCCCAGGTCCCGACTCTCCAAGTCCACCTCACAGGGCATGCCACCAGCACATGAGGCCTCAGAGTCCTGCTGGGAAAGGCAGGCTCTGAGCCTCACTTGAGACAGAACTGGCTGTCCCAGTCGCTGAGAATGCGAGCACCGCCATCCTCCGGAAACAGATGGACAGCAGGGTCTGGGAGCCCAGAGCAGTGCTCAGTAGAATAGCGTGGTGTGAGAGTGAGCTGGACTGGGTGAAGGAAGGCTTTCTGAAGGAGTGCTGTGCCGCTGTCCCCTAAACTGGCTGCCTTGGTCTTATCTCTAGCAAATTGTGTGTATCTCAGTTTCCTCGTCTGTAAAATGGGGCTGATGCCTACATCCCTGCGCTATGGGAACTGGAGGAGACAATCAGAATAATGTGCCATGCACTGTGCTGAAAGTTTATATGCGTGATATCACTAATCCGAGGTGGGTACTATGCTTGTCACTTTAAGATGAAGGTGAAACACAGATAAAACTGTTTTCTTTCCAAGGTCACTCAGCAAATGATGGAGGCCGATTTACACTGAAATCTGATCAATCCCAACACATATGCCCTTCACCCACTGAACTTCAGAGTGTGCTCCAGAGATGGTCTACATCAAAATAACCTTATTTTTTTTTTAAATCCAACTCCTTGGAGTTCAATATAGTTTCTATTTTTACATATGTTTTAAAATGTCCTGTTAAATAGTAGGGAGATTTTAAAGTGCAGAATCCTCAGCCCCGTCCACACCAGTGAATCCTAGTTTCTGGGGATATAAGCCAAGGATCAGCAATTTAAAAAAGATACCTGGTAATTCTGAATAGAATAAAATGCAAGATAACCCCACCCCTGCACTGTGCTGCAGCCCTGGGTGGGATTGTGCTGTGGAAATTCAGCACAGGCAGCAACTGTATTCAGTCTGTCATGCATTAGTATTACCTCCTCTGGTCCATTTCCTCCTTTGTAGTCTTTTGATACAAAGAGGGGGATGTATCAGGAAGTGAGCAGAAGGGCTGAGGTGGCAGAGAATGAGGCCAAGGCGGAACAGGAAGGAGGCTGGGATACCACTCTGTGCAGTACAGGGACCAAGACTCACGTCCACACACACCACTGTCCTGGGGTCATTGAGGAGGGGCTGACCACGCTCTGCCTATGAAGGTCAGAGAGAAGAACTTCGAGCTGGGTCTTGAAGTCTGAGTAGGAGTTCTCTGAGAGAAAATAACAGAGCATGGGCAATAGCGTGAGCGAGGCCTGGAGGTGTGACAAGGCCCACAGAGGGCATGTGGGGAGCTGCAGCAGATGAGACACATTGAGGAGGCCCACACCCTTGCTAGGAGAGCTACAGGGAGGGCCACTCTCTCCCCTGAGTGGGCAATGGTATCCAGGGTCTCCCCCAGCCCTGGCCCCTGGAGTCTGCCTGCATTTTTCCAAAGTGTGGCTCCTTCTGCCAACCCCACAGATGGCTGCAGCCCAGCCCACTCCATTGTGGATGGCTACTATGAGGACGCAGACAGCAACTACCCCTCAACCAGGATGAATGGAGAACTGAAGAACTCCTGTAAGTACTAGGCGGGCCTTCTGTCCCCTTGACCTAACCCTTAGCATGCATGTGCCCAACCCCCTTTAGGGTCCACATGGAGGCCCCTAACCCCTTGTCCTCCATGATCTCAGGGTTCAGGGGAAAGATCACTGGCACAGGAGTCAGGAGCCCCCGATGGAGCCCTTGCCCTGACTCGCGGTGACCGATCTTATACGGTCATTCATTCTCTTTGAGCCTCCAGTTTCATTATGTATAGAATAATAGTTTGAGTGTCATGAGAATGACTTGAGACAGTGTGTGCAAAGATGATGGGGTAGTGACAGTTGCTGATGTCTACAGAGCTCTCACTAACTGCTAGGCACTCAGCCAAACACTCCACATCCACTGACTCTCACGGCAGCCCAAATGGGCAGATGCTATGATACTGTGTTCACTATGATGGTTTTACTGATGAGGAAACTGAAGCTCTGAGAAGTTGCCAAGGCCACAAAGCTAGAGGCAAAGATAAAGCACAGCACCCGTGTGGGTGTGTGGCCATTACCATAACCACACCTCACACGCACCCCTTCGCGGTCCTGGGGCCCGGAGCAGGATGCCTTGGAAGGGGTGGGGAGGTGAGACCCAGCTGATGGCACAGTGGCAGGTCCTTTCCCATGGCGCCCGCAGACAACGACTCAGACGCAATGAGCAGCTCCTACGAGTCCTACGATGAGGAGGAGGAGGACGGGAAGGGGCTGCAGCCCACGCACCAGTGGCCCTCTGAGGAGGCCTCCATGCACCTGGTGAGGGACTGCAGGATATGTGCCTTCCTGCTGCGGAAGAAGCGCTTTGGGCAGTGGGCCAAGCAGCTGACTGTCATCAAGGAGGACCAGCTCCTGGTGAGTGGGCACGGCATGTTCCTCTCGGCCTCTTGTGGGCTTGTGCACGTGTGTTTATCTGTGTGTGTGCAGGCATGTCTGCCTCAGTTACCCTGAGCTTGCTTTGTGCGCAGAGGCTCCAGGCCTGGTGCTTTGAAGATCAGTGTTCTGCCACTGGAATAGAATTTTAAAAAAATAAAAATAAGCCGAAACCGGTTTGGCTCAATGGATAGAGCATCGGTTTGGGAACTGAAAGGTCCCGGGTTCGATTCCGGTCAAGGGCATGTACCTTGGTTGCGGGCATATCCCCAGTAGGGGGTGTGCAAGAGGCAGCTGATGGATGACTCTCTCTCATCGATGTTTCTTACTCTCTATCTCTCTCCCTTCCTCTCTGTACAAAATCAATAAAATATATTTTAAAAATAAATAAATAAAATAAAAAAATAAAAATAAAAATAAAACCTAGCCGAAACCAATTTGGCTCAGTGGATAGAGCATCGGTCTGTGGACTGAAGGGTCCCAGGTTCAATTCCGGTCGGGGGCATGTACATTGGTTGTAGGCATATCCCCAGGAGGGGCTGTGCAAGAGGCAGCTGGTAGGTGTTTCTCTCTCATTGATGTTTCTAGTTCTCTATCCCTCTCCCTTTCTCTCTGTAAAAAAAAAATCAATAAAATGTATTTTTTTAATATTTTGTAACTGTTATGAGAGAGATTAGCCTATAAGTTTCCTTTTCTGTAATGTCATTGCCAGGTTCTGATATCAAGGTTATGCTGGCCTCATAATAAGAACTGGGAAGCGATAATCATTATTGATAAACTATTGACTTCCCAAACCCAACCCTCTATCTCTGCTAGAATTCCCTCTCGCAAATTCCTAACATGCAGCCCATTAGTAGCAAGGAGCCAACTTCCTCCCAAGCCAGCCTGTTTCTTCTCTTTAAAGAAGTTCTTTAGACTCAAATGGTCTTCCTAGTATTGTGCTAAAATTTATCTCTTCCTAATAAGTAGTTGTGGCCCATGGGTCTCCTCAGTAGCCCTTCATATCTGAAGATTGCCCAAAGATAAGCCCCTCTCTTCTCGGGGTGAACAGCCACAGCCCCTGTCTTTACACAGTGCCCACGGTTGGGCTGGGTGGGGAGGAGAGATACCTGTGGGGTAGGTAAAGCTCCCCTTTGTGCAAGGGTGTCTCCCTCCTCTACCCTCCACTCCAGGAGACCCGACCTCTTCTCTCCCTTTCCAGTGTTATAAAAGCTCGAAGGACCGGCAGCCACATCTGAGGCTGGCACTGGATGCCTGCAATGTCATCTACGTGCCCAAGGACAGCCGGCACAAGAGGCATGAGCTGCGCTTCTCCCAGGGGGCTACTGAGATCTTGGTGCTAGCACTGCAGAGCCGGGAGCAGGCCGAGGAGTGGCTGAAGGTACAGGGAGCTGTGCCCTCCTTCCACCTGGTCTCCCTTCCTTCTTCTCTTTCCCAGGTCCAGCTCTCCGTGGGGTGGGCTCCTGCCTCTGGAAGAGCAGGCTTTGCTCCAGGGAAGGGGCCAATGCCAGTGCATGGCTAGGGCTTCTGTGTGGAAATGGGCCTCGGGCATCTCCAGGAGACAGACCTCAGGCTGGAGGCCCGTTTCTTCTCATCATTTGAATTACCCCCTAACCTACTGTGGGCTTGTCCAGGAAGCTGATTTTACCATTAGATAAGCTAATCCTTTTTTTCTTTTAAAAAAAAGGAAAATCCTTCCTTGTCTTATGTGAAATGTGGATCCTGGTCACGTCCACTGTGGCCCAGCTTCTGCATCTTGCAGCTGCACCGAACCATTAGAGTTAGTGTCCTGGGCACGTACTGTGTGCCATCTGTTGTTGTAAGAGCTTCACACACATGACCCCATTTACTCTTTGCAATGGAACTATTATTGTTTCCATTCTACAGATGAGGAAACTGAAGCACAGAGAAATTGTATGACTTGCCAAAGACCACACAACCAAGTGGATGGGGCTAGGATAGAAGCTAACAGGGAACTCTACACCAAAGGCCATAGGTAGGGAGGGCGGCACAGTGATCATGAGGGAGGCCTTAGGGGACACGCAAACCTGAGTTCAAGTCCCAGGCCTGAGAGGCTGTGACCTGCAAATGACTTGCCTCTGTTTCCTCCTCTAATTAACGGTTCTTGTAAGAATTCTAGAGAGCATTTGACATAGTATCTGCCAGGCAGTAAGTGCTTAGTAATTATCGGTGATTACTGTGCCATGACGATGAAGGCAGCGCCCCCAGTCTCTTTCAGTGGGCCCTCCAACCCTGCATCCTGCCTCCATTTCACTCCGACACCTTTTTCCCTCCAACTGTGATCTTCCTGCTGGAACAAAGAAACCAAACTCCTCCCTCCCCATTCTCCCTTCCTTCCTGTGATAACCAGCTCTTCCCCAACCCTCCCTTCCCCCAACCCCATGATTAGAGTTTCTCTTTACTGCCTTTGTCTCAGGAAGGAAAGAGAGAGAACGTGACTGCTAGTGGAGCCTCAGCCCTCAAGGGGCAGGTGAGTCAGAGAAAGAAGCCCTGGACTGGGAGTTAAGCAGCCTGTCTTTACATCCGGCTTAGGAAGCCATTGGCCCAGAGGTTGAGGGCCTCTTGGAGCCTCATCATCCTAATCAGTAACTTAGAGACCACAGTGGTCCCTGCCCCACAGGACTGCTAAGAGAATACAACGGGATATTCCGTGCAAAGTCACCTAACTTTGTAAACCACAAATGCTGACCTTTGTTATAGGATCTGGGTGCTTATGCTGTGTGATCTTGGATGAGCAGGTAAATGCCTTGGCATCAGGAGTGTCCATATCTTTGAAACAGAAGCAATAACCCTGGCTGCCCCCCCAGGCTATTGTAAATGTCCAACAGTCACCAGAAGTGAATCTCCCAGCCTTGTGCAGGGCAGCGCAGTTCACGTGGTCCTTCACACCATCATCTCGCCGGTCCTCAAAAAACCTCATGAAGTTATAACCCATGTTACAGATGGGGAAAGTGAGGCCCAGACAAGTGACTTTCTCAAGGCCACACACTAATAAGCAATGGAGCAAGGTCTAGAAGCCAAGCCTCTTGATTCCCAGCCCCATACCTTTTCAATTCAAGGAACAGATACAGAAGAAAGCTTCTTTAAACCCTGATGTGCCCACACATGTGGCAGGAAGCCACATTAGCCTGTCTCTTCTGTCCAGTGGGCCCAGCCTCTCTGATCAATGGCCCTGACCACACAGACCCCATTCTTCCTTTTGCTTCCACAGCATCCCTGCCCGCCTGCTCACAGCTGTGTGTCCTCCCACAGGTCATCCGAGAGGTGAGCAAGCCCATCACAGGGGCCGAGGGGGCAGACATGCCCAGATCCCCCGTCCTCCTGTGCAAACTGGACCTGGACAAGGTACAGCCATCTCCACAAGTCTCCTCTGGGCCAGGCAGTGAGGGCTCAGCACAGGCTCTTCCATGGGGGACTCTGGGGCTGGTGATGAAAGACACCCACAATGGTGTCATACAAGCCAGGAGTGCCCAGTACAGAGCTGGCCCCACAGTAAGCACTTGATAAATTTCTAATGAGTGAATGAATGAATGCCTAAATCCAAGTGCAACACAAGCCAGAGGAGGGCTGTGGATACCTGGCAACTCTGCCAGGATAGGAGTGGTCACATTTGAATGGAGCCATGACAAAATCGTAATTGTCTGTCAGAGTGCGCCCCATTAAAACGTAGGTGCAGCACTCACTTAGTAGTTGGTCAAACCATTGGAAAATACATGCCAGTGTCTGTTCTTTGCCCAGTACTCTGGGTGATAAAGGGTCTCAGCCCCAAACCCTAGGGGAAGGTTTAAGAGCTACATACATGAGTCTGACGTGATATAATACAAGCTTGCAGTTATAGAATGTGACTGTGGGGCCAGCATTGTTCTAAATGCTTTGCATGTATTACCTAATTTAATTTCTACAACAGCTCTTTGATGAGTTACACTTTCATATAGGGAACCTGTACCCAATAGGCACTTGGTTGACCTGTCATGACTTTATAAAATGCCAATTCATCTATTTTTCTCCATCCTCACTGTCATCTTGGTTCACCCTGTTACCCAGTCTCACCTTGTCCAGCATGACACTCTCTTAAGTAGCTCTTCAGCTTCCAGTCTTGCTTCCTCTTATCACATCCCCCATGATGCCACTGGAGCTAACTTGCTAATCTGGTTGCATTACATTAGTCTCCCACTTAAGTATCTCCCCACTTAAGTATCTCACCTGGTCCAAACTCCTAGGACATTTATCTCAATGTGTTATAATTAATTGCCTTGCTCCTCAAATAGACTGTGAGAATCTCAAAGATACATCTATTCTAAGTCATCATGGTTCACCCCCATACCTGGTAAGGTATCAAGTACATAATAACAGTTGCTGACAAATATTTGTTAGCTAATCCTCCTGTGCAGGAGTCTGGGGGAGACTGAACCAACAAGGGGACCTCTGATGTGGGGCTGTCTGTGTCCTTCTCCAGAGGTTATCCCAAGAGAAGCAGACCTCAGACTCCGACAGCCTGGGCATGAGTGATAACTGTTCCACCCTTGGCCGCAGAGAGGCCTGCGAACACGGTAAGAGCCTTTGGGGGATTACGTGGGGATGCCAGAGCTGGGAGGGGCAGGGGACTTGCCACATGCTCGCAGTGTAGAGCAGGTACTGACCACTCTAGAGACCTGTCAGGTGACCTGGCCTGTGCCATCTGGAGCTGTGGGCAACACCTCTGGGGTGGGTAGACCAGGGGAGGGCCATGGGTCTTCCTCCCCTCTCCTGACCCATCTCTACAGCAACAGGCAAAGGGAAGAAGAGCAGCCTGGCAGAGCTAAAGGGTTCGATGAGCAGGGCTGCAGGCCGCAAGATCACCCGCATCATCAGCTTCTCCAAGAGGAAGGCGCTGGCCGATGACCTGCAGATGTCCTCCACCGAAGAGGCGGTTCCGTGCTGTGGTGGGTACTGGGCATACTAAGCATTCACCGGAGAATTCAGACCCAGCTATCGGGCCCCTGGGCCCAAGCCAAGAGACTCTCCAGGCTTCCTCCACCTTGTCCCCAGGACAGAGGAGAGGATCCTGCCACTGGATAACTAACCCCCTCACCATCAGTTCTATTCCATTTCTATTCTCCCATGAGGACCTGGCACTCGACAGGAGGAAAAGCAAGTAACCCATATTTCTGTAACCTTAATTCCAATTATTGCCTGTCTCCAGGCCTCAGTTTCCTCCACTGTGGCCAGAGGAGAGTATCTTATTTCCTAGTATAATATATATAACATACCAGGTGTATAAAAATACTAAAGTTCTTTTCATTATAAATGCATCCAATGTGAGTTAAAGGTGGTTTGAGAGGGAGAGCGTATTATTCTGCTCATTTAAGTGCAGTGTTCCATGTGCTGGGATTCGATAGAAAATCGTATATTTTAGATATACAGTGATATTCTAACCCTGGGAGAATAACATAAAGGCACCTGGCTATACAGAAATATTTTGTAAGCAGAGGGATTTCTAAACCCATGGGTCACAGGGCTGTACCGCCCTCATTTTATAATTCTTTATCTTGGTTAGATGCTTTTACTCCCACATGCTGCCACCAGGGGTCAGCATGATCCATTATTTTAGGGAGAGGAAAGGCAAGAGGGAGAGTTGTGTCTCTTATTCATTGTATATAGCAGTCCATGCACTTTTCATCAAGCTTGGGATGGTCCAAAGGCTGTGCAGAGAAGTACAGATATGATCATCAGTCCCCATTTTGCAGACAGGAAACAAACTCAGAAAGAGAAGAGGATGTCTGAGATCACAGACCAAGAGAGAGCTGATCGAAGGCCTTCTAGCTATAATTCAAGGGCTGTCCAGACACCGTGGCCCTGGGGCACCGTCCACCTTGGGTTTCCACAAGGCTGAGCTGTTGGGAAGTCACACTGCCACTCTCCCCTCCCAGGCTACCTGAACGTGATGGTGAACCACGGCTGGAAGGAACGCTGGTGCCGCCTGAAGTGCAACACTCTGTATTTCCACAAGGACCGCACAGACCTCCGGACCCACGTGAATGCCATTGCCCTCGGAGGCTGTGAGGTGGCCCCGGGCTTTGGGCCCAGACACCCATTTGCCTTCAGGATCCTGCGCAACCGCCAGGAGGTGGCCATCCTGGAGGTGAGAGGCGAGTCCTGGCGGTGGAAGCAAAGGGAGCGATGGCCTGGGTGTAAGAACCTCCTCTATTGAAAAGCAAATATTTTTTAAGGATATTCAGGAAGAATAAAATGTTCTCATATATAAATGGTCAGGAAGGCTCTAAGTATAATGAGCAGAGACCTGAATAAAGAGAAGATGGGAGCCATTTGGATTTCTGGATGTGTTCTAATCTTGTTCTTCTTGGATCCCTAAGTATTGGCTACATAGCAGGTGCCCCCGTGTCTATTTAAATATGGGGCTTAGTGAAGTGAGCAGCAGCCAAAGTGAACTCAGCTTTCCTCCTCTCCTTCAGGCAAGCTGCTCAGAGGACATGGGCCGCTGGCTGGGGCTGCTGCTGGTGGAGATGGGCTCCAAAGTCACCCCCGAGGCGCTGCACTATGACTACGTGGACGTGGAGACCTTGACCAGCATCGTCAGCGCGGGGCGCAACTCCTTCCTGTAAGAACTGGCACCCGACAGCCCACAGCCGCCCAGGGCCTTTCCCGTCTCGGCTCCCTCTCAGAGGCTCTGAGTCCAGCCCTGGGCACTGGGTGGGAAGGCTGAGGAGGGCTCTGTTCCCTTGGGAAGTCAGAGTGGGTGCATTCCTCTTCCAGCAGACAGGAGTGAGCTGGCTAAAGGAGGTGGCCCAGGGTCCGGGGAAGCCTTGGGTGGAGTGAGCACAAGTGGAGAAGTCCTTTTTCATATTGACATGGGTTCTGCTCACAGGCTGAGACCTTAGGCTCTCACACCCTCAAGCCCCGGGGCGGGCAGGCACGGGGCTGGTATGTGGAGCTGGTACTAGAGGGGCTATGCTCGTGTCACAGCTCTCTCACAATCATCAGCTTGGCTGGTTCCTTGCCAGTCTGGGTCCTATTTTCTCACTTATATAATGATGCATTACTTGTTTCCTGGGTTATGAGAATCACGTGGGTCCCTGTCTAGAGAGCCCTGAACACAGCAATGGCCCAGCACTGCCTGGAATGGTTGTATGACTAACCTTCCAATATCCATTATGAGCTGCTGCCAGAATCAAATGAGAGTGGACAGGAAAGCACTGTAAGCTGCAGAGTGCCATCATCATCATACCTTGTATTCTCTAGATATGCAAGATCCTGCCAAGATCAGTGGCCTGAGCCCCGTGTCTACGACGATGTCCCTTACGAAAAGATGCAGGTACGATCCCTCGGGGCTGCTCAGCAACATGGCAAAGGCCACTTCTTAGTTCTCCCTCTCTCTTTCCCTCACTACAGTCATGAGGTGCTTAATGTCAGGGATACATCCTGAGAAATGCATCCTTAGGCAATTTCGACCTTGTGCGAGCATCACAGAGCGAACTTAACACAAACCTAGATGGTATAGCTACACACCTAGGCTACATGGTATAGCCTCCTATCCCTAGGCTCAAGTCTGTACAGCATGTTACTGAAATGAAACACAAGAGAAAATGATGTAATCAGGACACAGCAAACACAAGATGTATGAGGCTGCTTGCTGCAGGTGTAACACAGTATACTGTTTTATAGCACACTTTTTTTATAAGTAGAAAGAATACGCCCTAAAATAACATTTAAAAGTATAATAAATTTTCAAAGTATAGTAAATACATAAACCATTAACATAGTTATTTGCTATCATCAAGTACTATGTACTATACATAACTGTATGTGCAATACTTTTTTGTTTGTTTGTTTTTTGTTAATCCTCACCCAAGGATATTTTTCCATTGATCCTTTGGAGGGAGTGGAAGAGAGAGGGAAAGAAAGAACGATCAATGTGAGAGAAAAACATTGATTGGTTGCCTTCTACATGTGCCCTGAACAGGGCCCAGGCTGGGGAGGACCCTGCAACCAAGTTACGTGCCCTTGCCTGGAATCAAACCTGGGACCCTTTCATCCACAGGCCGACTGCTCTATCCACTGAGAAAAACTGGCTAGGGTTGTGCTATACTTTTATAAGAATGGAAGCACAGTAGGTTTCTTATACCAGCATCACCACAAACACTGAACAATGCATTACAATGTTAGGACGGCTATAATGTCACTAGGTAAAGTGATTTTTCATCTCTATTATCTTACTAGAGGCCTGGACTACTCCCTCTCGCAGTCTGGGAGCCCTCAGGAGATGTCCCACTGACGGCTTAGACCCTCTCCCCACATCCTGTACAGGAGGCAATCTGGCTGATCAGGGGAAGGTGCCGCCACCATCACCCCGCTGCTGCTGCCACTGCCAGCCATGTTAGCTGTGAGGCCTGAGTCCTGGGCCTCATAGCTGCCAGGGCTCATGGCTACCTGCGCTCTGGGTCTCGCAGCCACTGTGGTTTTGTCCAGATGGACTTTCGGATGGACATCTGCCCTAATTAGCATATTACCTTTTTATTAGTATAGATGAGACCACCACTGTATATGCTTTTGACAGAAACATTATCATGCAGCACATGATTATACTCCTTTTTTCCTTTGCCTCAGAGAGGTTGTTTTCATTAAACCAGTAGCTGGAAGACGAGGGATGACCCTTCTTATCACAGATCATGGCTCAGGATGAGGAACTCCTGGAAAGGAGGGTAGATGGTACAGTGAAAAGCTCCCAGATCAAGACGAGGAAGGGCTCTGGACACTAGAGAGCTCTCCCCCAGCTTGAGCAAAGTGTTGGGCTCTCCCCCATTTAACACTCTGTGGACTAAAGCCCCTGATTCAGTGGTGTCTGGAGGCGGAGGCAATAACAGGGTGGCCACACTTGCAGGCCTTCACCTGGTGGCATCCACAGTCTGGGTTTCAGCTCCCAGAACTGTCTTGCTCACTAAACTGAGGAGATATCAGCTCATTAATTTCAGTGAGGCCTCTGTGGCTATAGCAGTAGCCAAACTACATTCTGATCAGATGCTGGTGGGTGGGTCTGGCCCGACAGCATGGGAAGGCAAGGGAACCAAGCTGCCAAGGAAACAGACATGCATCAAGACCCCTGCCTTGGGCAGTGCTAGGTCACACTCTGAGTCCACACCTCAAGGACTCCCTTTACATGGTCTTTCTTTAGACACAGATGAACCAATGGATACAGCTTAAGATCTTTCTCAGTTGGAGAGTTTAGGAGCAAGAGCTTAGTACTTAAAGGAGCAAACTTTGGACTCAGGGCTCAATCTGAGTTACGATGGGTTCACTTCTCCGATCTTCACTTTTGGGCTTCAAACAGATATGATCAAACTTAACTGACTGGACAATTGCATGAGCTAACTGAAATATTTTAAGGAAAGAACTTAGCACAGGGCCTGGACAGGAAATTCTTATACAGAAAAGTAAACCGCACTGCTGTTACTAAAATCATTATAATATTACATTATCATCATATTCCACTCGTGGTTCCTGAGATTTGACAGATTCTGAGTGTTCTTAATACTCTTCATGCACAAATGTATTGTCAGTCTATGTAACTTCTATCATTAGTGCCCGTCATCCATAACTTTTTTAATGACTCAGAAAACTTTAACGATACTTCGAAATAAGAGGATAAAATATCTACCCTGTTTCCCCGAAAATAAGACAGTGTCTCATATTAATTTTTTTCTCCCAAAGTTGCGCTAGCTCTTATTTTCAGGAGATGTCTTTCCATGCTCTAGGTCTTATTTTTGGAGGATGTCTTATTTTCGGGGAAACACGGTATGATAAATCAAATATGTCACCCACAATCTTTTCAGACTTCTTCATTTTCCTCTCGGCACATATTCCAATTTAGGGCTATCTTCTACTGTCCCCACCCCACAGAATGGAAGGAGAATCCAATGATATACCGCTAGTGAAAGTGGTTTATAAACTGTTGAGTGCTACACAAATTTTAAAATGTAAAGCCAAGATCTCAGAGGTCCCACCGAGCACGGATCAGGATACACCCATGTTGATGACTCTGGGCCTACCTGTACTTCATCTTCTTCCTCCATCTCCCTCCCAGGATGAGGAGCCTGACCGTCCCACTGGGGCCCAGGTGAAGCGCCACGCGTCCTCCTGCAGTGAGAAGTCCCATCGAGTGGATCCGCAGGTCAAAGTCAAGCGCCATGCCTCCAGTGAGTTCTGTGGGGGAGGGGAAAGGGTGAGAAGCAGCCCATGAGGGAGTCTCAAAATCATATTCCTCCAGGGATAAGGCAGGTAAATAAATGAGTGAACTGATGTATAAGAAAATACTCTACCATAAGAAAAATCACATCATAAATACAGTGATGAAGAGCAGCTTGCATGTGGCCTCAGAGGAGAGACAAGGAGTGGGGTGGGGGAGACTATAGGAAACTGGAGAAGCTTAGGAGTGGCCACTAAGCTCCAGCCGATGGCCCACACACAGCAGTGCCAATTATTCAAGAGAGATCAGAAATCTAGACTTTATATGAAATCTACATACTCATAAAGAACATACTAAAGAGAGGAGAGAAAGAAGCATAAATATATATATATATATATATATATATATATATATATTTTTTTTTTTTTTTTTTAAATAATGGCTGAAAACTTGCCAAGTTTATTGAAAAACATTATTGATATATCCAGGATACCAGTGAAGTCCAAGTAATATAAAAGCAAAGTGATCCACAAAGGACACATCATGGTCAAAATGCTAAAGCTAAAAGGAGAAAACCTTGAAAGTAGAAGAGAAATTTATTTGTCACTTACAAAGGATCCCCATTAAGGTTAACAGCTGATTTATCAGAAACAGCAGAGGCTTTCCTCTTAAGATCACCTGAGCCCAGCTGGATGTGACTCAGTGTTTGAGCATCGACCCAGGAACCAGAAGGTCACTGGGTTCAATTCTTGGTCAGGGCACATGCCTGGGTTGCAGACTCAGTCCCCAATAGGGCATGCAGAAAGCTCTCAATCGATGATCCTCTCTCATCATTGATGTTTCCTCTCCCCATCTCCCTTCCTCTCTGAAATCAATAAAAAATATATTTAATTTTTAAAAAGATCACCTGGAATACTATCCAGCAATAAAAAGGAAAGGAGCACAGATATATACCACATTAGTGCATTAGTTACACTAGTAACATGGACGTTAAATGTTCCTTATTTTCCCCTCCACTATGGAAGCCCAGATTTTTCTGGAAGATATTTGGGCAGTTTTGAGACAAATACTTTATCATCACTACTAGGAGGCCCACAGAATTATAGCTCCTTGCAACAATCTAGTTTGCTTCTTCACCACCCTTTGAGTGACTCGAGGATTACAGGGTCGGGTGTGAGATAAGCTGTTCTCCGTGGTGCCAACATAGTAAGGCAAACCAGGGCAGTGACTCCCAAGAGTAAGTCCACTCATTGGTTCAGACCCTAAGAAGTTTTCATTCATCTGCAATTGAAATGATCAAAATAAGCACAGTGCAGGAAGTTTTTCACAAATCTAAATCTATTCAATGTAAATTACTACTTTATTCTACATTTGTGTTCTCCCAAATCTGAGGCTGTTACAATATTATTTATTTTATAAAATATTTGGAATAGTTAGATGGTAGTTGGGATTTTTAAGGGCCTTATCAGTTATACTAACAACCCTTTGTTGGTTTACCCATTTTCTTTATTTTATCAGTCTAAAAAATTCAAAAGTCTGGGAGCCAGCTTCCCTGATATGCTATTGTATATCTGGAAAGCTGGAGGAAGTAAAGGTCCCTTTCTCTGCCCTCCATGCTTTACTTATGATCTGGTTTGACTTGCAGAGTAGTTGTGGCAGGAATTGATTTTTGCATGAGTCACTGGGTAATCACTGCAATTCCTATAAGAACTGGAGAGATAAGACCCACACAATTACCAGTAAATCATGGGAATTACTCCACATCCCACCAACTTACAAAGGGCTGTGTGTGGCTGACTGTAGCAACAGCATACATCAAACTTTCCCTGATAGGTTTGACTATGGCCTTGCCCCAGCTAGAGTACTACTGCATGGCATGGACCTGGAGTAGGTGAACATGGGTTCAAACCTAGGTTCTGCCATCATTAAAAGAACGATATAACCTCTCTGTGCCTGTTTCCTCAACAATAAAATAGAGCTAATAATAGTTTCTATGAAAAGGAAATGGAAATGCATATTGGTGACCTAGTACTTAGAAATACTCAATAAAATTTTGCCATATTTGTTTGTTTTTATGTTTTGTTTTGTTTTTTGTTTTTTATTTCAGAGAGGAAGGGGAAGGGAGAGATAGAAAAATCAATGATAAGAGAATCATTAATCGGCTGCCTCCTGCACATCCCCTATTGGGGATCTAGCCAGCAAACCCAGCATGTGCCCTGACAGGGAACTGAACTGTGATCTCTCAGTTCATAGGTCAACACTCAACAACTGAGCCATGCAACCGGGCTATTTGTTGTTTTGACCCATCGTCATAGTGTAAAGTCCATAGCAGACTACTAGATGCCTCTCTACCCCTACCCATTTCCTAATAATAAAATGGGCAATGCCTGACTTTATCCCAAGGTCTTGATTCTCTATGGATCTGAGTTAAATCTACCAGTCTCCTTGTCTTACACATACCTGAGAGTTGACTATAAAATATGCCCTTTTAAAACCAAAGTGTGTTATACATCACAAAATTTGTTTTACTTTATTATTATTTAACCTTTACTAAGCACTTATTATTTGCCATGTACTACACTAAGAACTTTTCATGAATTATCTCTTTTTAAACCTACCACAGTGCTAAGAGATAAATTTTATCAATATACACATTTACAAATGTGGAAACTATAGCTGAGGAGAAGACACAAAAACATCACTCTTCTCTTTTGCCTGATGTCACTCAACCAATAAAGAGCAAAAGAGAATGCAAACCTCTGTCTGGTTCCAAAGCCCTTCCCCTTCATCCCTGAGCTCTACTGCCTCCCTTTGCTCCTTGCTTCCTTAGAGCAGCCACATTAACTACAATTAGGGATGTAGCTCTAAATATCCCCATTTTTTATAGATGGAGAAGTTGAGGCTGAAAGAGAAGCTAACACCACCCAAATGCCCTTTTCCTGCCTCCTAACTCTGCAGGTGCCAATCAATACAAGTACGGTAAGAACCGAGCTGAGGAGGATGCCCGGAGGTACCTGGTAGAAAAAGAGAAGCTGGAGAAAGAAAAGGAGACAATCCGGACAGAGCTGATGGCACTGCGGCAAGAAAAGAGGGAGCTAAAGGATGCCATTCGGAACAATCCAGGTACCTACATGGTGTGGTCCTGAGCGCTCTTGGAGGGCTTGGCCTTTCCCTAGAACAGATCACCTGCTTTCTTACCCAAGACAGGTGAGCTTCTCCCTCCTTTCTCCTTTTCACCACCACCACTACCACCACCATCATCATTCCTCCTGACTAATGGAAGGACCACCTATTTAATAACTGCTTTGGGGGTAAAGGGATGAAAAAGTATCACAAAAATATGTACACTTAATGTAAGATGCAACCTGATTTTAGAAATGTTAAAATGTGAAAAACAGCATGGGTCTTAGAATAAAGAGAAATAAAAGATCATTTGAACCTCACATTAACTCATTCATTCACAGATAGGTGCTGAGCATGGCTATTTGAGCATAGACCCAGGTGCTGGGGATGATGGACAGTGCCTGGTACATAGCGAGCGTGCAGTATGTATTCACTGAATGAACAACTGAATGAATGAAAAGAACCCACCGTTACTAGAAAACCCTCCAGTGCAGCCTCCCTCAGGGCAAACATGGACTAATTTTTAAACCTACCGATAGTAAGGCTCAACATAGATAGTTCTTGGTACCAAGAAGGCTCTAATTTAGATATGTTGGGTTAAACTGAATAAAGAGCAAAATCCTAGTAAGAACACCTGGTCAGTGTAAAGCTCTATGTTATGACTGTTGGTTACAAGGAACAGAAACCAAAGTTCAATTGGCTTAGTAATGAAAAAAAGAAAAATGCACTTGAAAAACTGAACAATCAGGTATATCAAGGTCAAAGGACTTACATGATGTCACCAGGAAGTACATTTCTCCAACTCTTGCTTTGGCCTTCCTCTACACTGATTTCATTCTCTGCCTCTCGTGGTGTCAAAATGATTGTGCATCTCCAGCCCTCACCTAATCCTCTCAGTCACCCCAGCAGAGAGAACTTCTCTTCCTAGTTGCCTCCCAAAACATGTCACCCTGACCAACTTTGATCCCTAAGCCAATCACGGTGACTCTGATTGATATAGGATTATGGGCCAGGATTAAGTTATGTGCCAACCCTTTGAACTAGGATTGAGGTTACCCCATTTAAACTATCCTATATAATAGAACTATAATATGCAAATGGACTGAATGGCAGAATGACCGGTTTGTATGACACGCACTGACCACCAGGGGGCAGACGCTCAATGCAGGAACTGCCCCCTGATGGTCAGTGTGCTCCCACAGGAGGAGTGCCACTCAGCCCGAAGCCTTTCTCACCACCTCCGCTGCAGGTGGGCAGTAAGGAGTGAGGGGTCCCAGACTGAAAGAATCCCAGACTCTTGAGAGGATGTCTGACTGACAGCTTAGACCCAATCCCAGCAGGCGGACATCCCCCAAGGCGTTCCGGATTCTGAGAGGGAGCAGGCCGGGCTGAGGGACCCCTCCCCAAGTGCACAGATTTCGTCCACTGGGCCTCTACTAAATAATAATGGAGGAAATGTAGTTTCCCAGGGGAAAAAAACAGGATTCTGTATCCACAAGATGTGGAAATGGGTATTGGGAAGGTAAAAAACACACTGGCATAGAGCTGGGGGCCCGAAGACCACCTCTTAACCAGGACTGAGGACAGGAAAGGCCCTCTGGGAGGGGCAGACTAGGGCCTGAGGCCCTGCCAAACTGCTTGATGCTTTAGGCTAGGCTCAGCTGTTTCTTATGAATGTCTTTGGAAACAGGCGCGAAGTTAAAGGTTCTGGAGGAGGCCGTGGCCACCCTGGAAGCTCAGTGCCGGGCGAAGGAAGAGCACCGGATCGACCTGGAACTGAAGCTGGTGGCTGTGAAGGAGCGCTTACAGAGGTCTCTGGCAGGGGGCCCAGCCCTGGGACTCTCCATAAGCAGCAGGAACAAGAGTGCGGTGAGTCCACTCCCTGCTACACCAGGAGTAGCTGCTCCTTACTGTCCTCACATGCTACCGATCTTGATCATCCTTTGGGGCTAGGAGTTATGCTTGCTTACAGATGACAAAAGAGGCCCTAAGGGACATGCCACTGGTGGCACAGCTAGGAAGGGGATTCTAGCAGCAAGTTCTCTGGCCTGTGTTCTCTCCAGGGACACACCCATTTCAGCTGTCATTAGCTTATTCCAAGGCCTTCGAGTGTCTTCCTCCCTCATCCTGTTTGATGCTAGTATGTGTGGATAGTGCTCTCTATATGCATTCTTTGGAGGGCAGGCTGGGTGTAGGTAGCCAGCATTAGACTTCACCTGTGTAATTATTTCTTGTCATTGACAGGAAACTACAAATAAACCCCAGAACAATCCTCCAGAGCAACCTCTCCCTGTAAACTGTGTTTCTGAGCTGAGGAAGAGGAGCCCATCCATTGTAACCTCCAACCAAGGAAGAGTGTTGCAAAAAGCCAAGGTACAGCTCTAGATAGTTTTCCTCAGTAGTAAGAGCGGCGACCTGTGAACTGAAGGGTTTATGGGTTTGATTCTGCTCAAGGGCACATACTTCAGTTGCAGGCTCAATCCCCAGCGCCAGTCTGGGTGCATGCAGAAGGCAACCAATCGATGTGCCGTGAAATGTTTTTATCTACAAGTCACACTAGACTATTCAACAAACTGCTCTGTCTTGTCTTTCTGTACTTCAGGAATGGGAAATGAAGAAGACCTAGAAAGAGGATGAGAATTTTATCCAAAGGAAATATCAGCTTGTCCATCTAAGGCGGAACGCTTTTTTCACAAGGAGCTATAAGAAGACTGAAAGTAACCCCCACTCTCTGGGGCACCCAAAAGACCAGCCTTTATTGTTTGCATGATCAAAAGGGGTATAAGGAGGAAAGAAGAGAAGGGAAGAGGGAAATGATGCCTACATGCCTATATAACTTCACAGAGGGTGGGAAATGGGGGTGGAGGGAGGCAGACATCTGCACAGTTGTAAGGGTTTTGTTAAATGTCTTTGCCTTCCCTTCGGAAGAAATGAAAGCACGTGTGAATAAGCCATTCCATCCCATTCCCAGTCCTTAGGGCAAAGGAAGGCAGTGCTGAAGCATCAGTGATGCAATAGAGAGGTAGCTTGATCATCCAATCACATTTGTGTTGGGCATTATTGACAGACTTTGGGCAAGATAAAGAGGCTGAAAAATCATCTCTTTGAAGGCCGCCCAGAGGAGCAGGGGTCCCAACCTCACACCAGACCCCCTGCCTAGGGTCCCAGAGCTGGGAAAAGAAGTCCTTTTAGGCAGTAAGAACTACAGGCTGTAAAAACCAGTGCAGATTGGGGCTCAGTAACACAGAGGCTGCTGGAGACCCCCGCTATTCCTCTTAAAAGGCTGGCACCATGAACTGAACTTACAAGATCCCGCTTCCTCTAAGCTCCAGAACCAGAGTGAGGCTCTGGAGACCACAGACATATACGAGACATAACTGGATTGTCTGGCATCGGGACAGGAACTCAAGGGTGGCTTTCTCCCAGACGGAGGTGCTTGCAGGGATCACTGTTCCTATGCTGGGACCTCCCCAGTAGATCCCAGGGCTAACTGGTGGTCATGTCTGTTTGCTCCGCCCTAATGATTCCCTAATCATTGATTCCCTAATCAATGATTCCCTAATGATTCCCTCATCCAATTTATAATCCCACTCAAGCTGTGTGCAGCAGGTTTTGCATATAAATGGTCTGTCCTTGTTCAGGCTAAATTCTCTCAAACAAGTGAGAGTTTGTCAGGAAGCAACAAACCTACCAATAAAAGGCCCAAGACCCAGCACCAGCACCAGCCTGCCTTGCTTCAGAGCTGGGCCCCGTCTGAGCACTTCCAAAACCAATACAAAGAGGAAGAATCTGCAGATCTCTCTCTAGTTCCTACTGGATTGTCAATATGCTTCTTTTTTGTCAATATGCTTTTTAAAATGTGAATCTGAAATGTCATCTGACAACCCAATTGTGTCATTGTTTCCCACATAGTTATTTTGAGACTGTCTTTTTCCACCAATAAATCTTAAGACTCTTTGAGAGGTGGACCCTAGAAAATTAAAAATTAACATTTTGAAAAGAATTTTTATTTATTTACTTAAATATAATTCTATTGATTTCAGAGAAGAAGGGAAAGGGAGAGATAGAAACATCGATGATGAGAGAGAATCGTTGATTGGCTGCCTCCTGCAAGCCCCCTATTGGGGAATGAAACCTGGGCATGTGCCCCGACAGGGAATCAAACTGATGACCTCTTGGTTCTTGGGTCAATGCTCACCCATAGAGCCACACCCAGCTGGGCTAATTAACATATATTGAACACTACCATGCATCAGGCACTATGCTAGCCAGAGCTAACTTCACAGGCATGCAACCTGTGCAGTTAGGCTTAGCAGGGCTCTGTGCTTGGTTGATTGCTCTGCTGTTGCCCTCTTAGTAAGTTTAGAACAAGAGGTTCCACATATTCTTTTTGTCCTTTTTTTTTAATATATATTTTATTGATTTTGTACAGAGAGGAAGGGAGAGAGATAGAGAGCTAGAAACATCGATGAGAGTCACCGATCAGCTGCCTCTTGCACACCCCCCACTGGGGATATGCCCGCAACCAAGGTACATGCCCTTTACCAGAATCGAACCCGGGACCCTTCAGTCCCCAAGCCAATGCTCTATCCATTGAGCCAAACTGGTCTCGGCTCTTTTTGTCCTTTAAATCAGCCATCACCAACTGGTGGTCTGGGAGGACTGAAAGATTGACAACTGTTGCTTTAAATTATGTAGGCAGTTCTGGTGCTAACTAATCTCTTTTCTATGCATTATCCCTTTAGTCTTCACTAAAATCCTGTGAGATAGATACTGTTATCCAAGTTTTCACAGTTCAGGAAATGGAAACCAGAAAAGTTAGATAATTGGCCAAAGCCCACAGTTAGGAAGTACTGTGGCTAGCACTTGAAGGCAAGGTCTGACCCTACAGGCCAAATGGATAAAGGCTCCATTTCATTCATTTCTCCTCCTCCCCTTGCATTGCAGCATTCAGAAGCACAGTAGCATTTAATAACTAGATAAATGAATGTATGCAGCATGTTTGGTCTAAGTTGAACAACTAAGAGAAGTGTAAAGAAAATGGCTAGCCCTAGCTGGGTTGGCTTTCGAACTGAAGGGTCCCAAGTTCAATTCCCATCAAGGGCACATGCCCGGGTTTCAGGCTCAATCCCCAGTAGGGGCCGTGCAGGAGGCAGCCGAATGATTCTCTCTCATCATTAGTGTTTCTATCTCTCTCTCTCCCTCTCCCTTCCTTTCTGAAATCAATAAAGATACATTTTTTTAAATGGCTAAAGCATAGATGCTATTAAATTCTTGCTTGCTAAATGCTTTGTTTGGTTGTTTTTCAAAGTATAGACTCATGGATCTGAGGTGGACTTGAAACTCCAACTTTCCCAACACTCCCAGATGTTTGGACTCTCAAATCTCTAGTGTCAGATTCTTACTGGGGTATCTTGGGCAGGTTCACCAACTTTCTGAGCCTCAATTTTCTTAAATGTAAAAGGGAATCATAATTTTTTTTAAGTCATGTTGCTCTGCCCCTAAGGCCAAAAGGAAACAAGGTGTTAGCTTCTACACATCTGAGTTGGGCCTTACATAGAATATAAACATACAAGACTCCAGTCTGTCCTCATGGAATTCACAGACAAGCAGAGAGAAAATCTGGCCCAAATACGTACAGGTAACCCATGTTCTGGTGAATGCACTCAAATAAGGAACATACACTTCTCATCCTTTAAAAAATACTTTTTTAAAACCTTGGGGACTATCCGTTAACTAGTCTGGATATGCCCTCAACTCCAATCACCACTCACATCCTGTCAGCTTTCCATACTAAATCTCTCTAAAATACATCCACTTCTTCCTATCTCCTCTCATTCCATCAAACTTCATCAATTCATTCAACAAATATTGAGTATCTGTTGTACTAGATCACAGCTCTGAATAAAGCAGCCTCATGAAGCTCATACTCATTAGGAGAACAAGCAAAAAGAAAACAAAGCAAATAAAATACTAATATGGAAACAAAAATGTGCTGGACACACCTAAAGTATCAGCGATTTTAAATAATGTCTTTGTTGAGTGATCCTAGAACCCTTGCATGGACTATTCCAACAGCTTGTCTCCCTACCTGTTTTTCACAACCTGTAATCTCCTCCCTACAGCAAAGTGACTCCTTTAAACATGCACAGACTTTGTAGCATATTAATTCAAATGTTTGAATTAACAGACCAAAAAGAAATCTTTACCCTAATGGAACTAACATTTTAGGGAAAAGGGAGGAGATGAGAAACTCGGAGGAAGAAAACCAGGGAACAGTGATTGGGGTGGGGGTGGGGGGGGATGTCGGGACTCAATATTTTATTTTCAACATATATTGTTATTGATCAGCTGTCTCCCTGCATGCCCACCAGGGATTGAGCACACAACCCACGCATGTACCCTGACCGGGAATCGAACCACTGAGCGACACCTGCCGGGTTGGATCCTATATTAATTCATTCAGGTGATCTGCCAATGCCTAACCAAACGTTTTATGTTGTCACCTCCACTTCCTCCAGTATTTCAGTCCCTTTCTCGCGATACTCTCCTTCTTACCGGATCATTGCAGAAGCTGCTTGCTACTACCTGAACTACTTTCCTGTCTCTCACCTACTCACTCCACAGCTTTCAGTCCAAATAATATTTCCTTTAGGAAAACTCCCCACATTCGGCCATACTGTGTTAGTCTTCAGCAACACCATAACCCTCACCTTTAAACTTCGGTCCTATTTTGACTTTATATTGCGTTTGCACTGGTTTGTGGTTTGCAATTTCACATAAGCTCCAAAAGAGCACAACCTGGGACCCCCGTGGAACCCGCGGCTAGCACCGCGCCTACGTCGTTGCAACAGAAACACAAACAACACAGCTCGCAGAACGCACTGAGGACCGGAAGTGTCGCGCCGCGGCTCGGCAACAGCCTGGCGCACCGGAAATGAACGTTCGCTTCCGGCATCCGGGAGGAGGGATCGCCCGCGAAGGCTGCCGGGAAGCGTGGTTTTTTGAGTGGGCGTTTCTCGTCACGGGGAGCCAGTGCGCGTGCGCTGCCTCTGTCGGCCTAGGTCGGGAACATGGCCGCGCGGTCCTTGTGGGCAGTCCGGCGTCGGGTGCAGCACCTCCTGGCCTCGGTTGCTGCGTCCGACGGCAGGTAAGCCCGCGGAGCCGGCCGTGGGTCGGGGACGTGAGGAATAATGCGGGATGAGCGAGCCGCAGGGGCAGTTGTGGACAAAAGGACTCATCCAGCTTCTCGGCCACTCCGATCGGGCGCCCACCGCCCCGTTATACAGAGCGGCAAACTGAGGCCCACAACGGCGCTTCATTGCCAGGCGGAGAAGGTGGGAAAACCCGAGGTCACGACCTCGGAGGTGGGAAATCTTTTCAGCCCCGAAAATAGGTTGAATTGGGCAGGTACCTCTCCTGCCCCTTCTCCGCGGCTGTGGTGTCTGTAGGGAGATGGGGATTCCCTCCCCCGAGTCCTCTGTGACTTTGGGCCAGTCCCTTCCCGGTGTTCCGGGCTTCACTTTACCTGTCAGGAAGAGGAGGACTTGGAATTGGTGACTCCCCAAACGGCCCTTTTACCTGCCTTTGGGGTCTGTGAGTTCCAGTTGTTGTTTTTATCTAGGG